TGTAACCTTTTCTCGTTTGTAATTTTTTTCTGAATCTGATTTTTTTTATACTTATATGAAGACATTGCAAAATTTCCCGCCCCTAAATTTGCCGCCATGGGCCGCGGCCCATGTTAATGTGGCCATCTCCTTGATCCGGCCCTGTCTAACAAAATCAATAATCAGCTCGCAGGTGCGTCAGTTTTGTCGTACTGAGGAAGAACACCGTATAATCTCTACGAGAGTTAGCCAATCTCTTCTTTTAAATTACGAATTTTTTTGAAAACGTTCAATGTTCTTGATTTCTTGTTCCAGTCATTCAAAAAGTTTCATCCGCACTTTAATCTTAAATATTCGTCAATCTCATAAGAAAGAGAAAGCCTTACTTTGGTCAAAAATACTCCTTTAATCGAAGCTGATTCGGCAACAGTCAAATGTTTTACCGCATTCCTCCTTCGCAAGGAACGCAGAATGAGAGAGAGCAAGAGACCCCCCCCCCCTTCACATTAGATTTATAATGTAACACTTTTTGGCGGAAATTTCAAATTTTCGGGGGCAGTTTTGCAGATTTTTTTTTAAAATCTGCTTACCTCACCTTCCCAACAAAACTTACAACCTGCGTGCCTTTAAACTGTTCCTGCCGTACAACCCCCCCCCCCTCCTTTCGGGAATCGGATGCAACAGCGTCCTTGGACAAACGCTCTTCTTGCGCCAAGTAATACTTGGCAACATAGCTGCCTTGCTGAGAAAAAACAGCGTATGAGCCTTCAGACGTTGCCAAATCTCCTCGGTTGAAATATGAATTTCCTCGGTCAATCATTTCCTCTAACAATAAGTAATTTTTCAGCGAATTTCATCTGCAGTCAGATCTAAATTATCTAAAAATTTCTAAAGATAGTGTTCATAACTCTCCTTAAGAACAAACGTGTGACTGGAAGATTTTTGGCAACTCTCGGATGTACATACGGCGTTTTCTCTCATGCCGCATGCCGCAATCACACGCTGAATTTAGCAGCTGAATGTGGCAGTCAACAGTCAGCGCTCAACAGCTGAAATTTCACTAATTCGAGTTATTATCATCCAAATTTGTATCCAATCTATTCGAATAGTTCAGACAAATCCGACATTATCCGATGGTCGCTGAGAATCATTGCAGAATTTTGAGCGTCATGCGCAAAATTCAGGCATCGGGTCGATGACTTCCACATTCAAGCCACATTCAGCGTGTGATTACGGCAATAGCAAGGTAGAGTGGATGGATATTCATGCGTAGGGGAGCACTGGAAAAAAAAACACATTGGATCTAGAGTTAGGTAAGACTCTTAAAAACATTGACATGAAAAAGGACTCTTGACTCAATCAGATTTAAGCTTAAATCAAGAGGAAATCCGCTCAAATTAAGAGGCTCTTGGTTCTAGATTTAAGGTTAAATCTGATTGAATCAAGATTTTTTTTCTTGTCGATGTTTTTAAGAGTCTGGACTCTAGATCCAATGTGGTTTTTTTTCCAGTGAGGTGCGATCTCTTCTGGGTCTCGATAAGAGAATTTTCTCCAACACCGCGCCGCCGCACACAAGTCTTACAAAATCTGGAAACTTTAAAAAGCTTATGCTTTCGGAAGTATGAAACGAAGCAGTTCTAGGGCGGTTTCATCGGCTTTAAGGTGAAATTTCCTCTCAGTAGCATCCTCAGAAATTAAATTTGTAACGATATAAACGTCTAAATTTTCAGTTGTAGTCAAAAATTTCACGTTCGACCTCTCCTGCAGACTGGATCCCCTGTGTGCCGGCCGGCCGCCAATAACCGAGATTCTGCTAATACGCAGTGAACACCCCTACAATAGTTCTCCTCCCCCCTCCTCCGAGACTGATCGGAGGCGTCAAGTAAACGTCCTGCGCGTGCCGCAGTCGGGCACGTTAAACCGAGGGAGGCGTTTCACCTCTACACGGTAGCTTGTGATTCTGAGGAACTAATTTTTTCTGTAAAATTCGACAGTTCACCGGCCCGATAAAAGCGCTAGTGAATTTAAAACGCTACTTCTCCCGTCGAATTCTACAGTGTGCTAAGTGCCATCGTCAGTGGAGTTACTATTCACTCACTCTTGTCGGTTGACATTGTTTTAAAAGTTTTCGGTAGCCTTTTTCCCGTGATACTTTCATGATATTCAATTGGAGGAGGTCATTTTGGAAGTCATTCTGTCCCTGAGTAGGCGCTTCGGCAGTATCAATTTGGTGAGTTGCTTGCATTTATATCACTAAAAATTGTATTTCTTCGAAGGAGATGTGGTTATGTGCAGTGTTCGAAACTCACCTTTTGAGTTTTAGAAGCCATGAGGCGCAACAAGCCCGATTTTTAGGCGCCATTGAAGATATTTTAGGGGTCAAATTGACTTTTTGCCCATATACCGCGGCGTATTTAGTAAAAAGTTAGACGCAAGATGTTTTAGTTACAGAATTAGTAACTGTAACTTGGGGGAAATTTCGAAAAATTAATATATTTTTTGGAGGGGGAGGGGAAATTTTTAGGGGCGACGTTGGCGCAGAGCCTTCTTTTTTTAGGCGCATTTGGAGCGTTGGCGTCTGTGAGTTTCGAACACTGGTTATGTGTATAGTATACTGCCGTGCTAAGGAAGAAGGCCGTATGAACATTCGAGAGTGGGCAAATTTCCTTCAGTGAAAGGTTTATTTTTTAGGGAAGCTTGGAATAATTTTCCTTGAAATTTTCGGGAACTTTAGGTGAAATTGCGAACAACAGTATCTGAAAAATTGGACGAAAAATATTCATAAGTTTGTATCCGGAAATTCGTATTTTATCGATCGGAATTTGGCAACGCTTGAAGGTTTGTACAGCGTTTTCCCTCAGCATGGCATTGTAAGACACTTGAAAGTCTTCGGGAGGCGATTGTTTAAGGGAAGGCAAAAAATTGTGGAGGGTGAGGATTGTTTTGTTAGATTTTTCAGATTTCCAACTCTGATGAAGGATTGCGACTCTAGCACACGTTCTAACATTAAAGCGCTAAATGCAGGAAGGACATTTCTTGGTCACGGTGTCGTAGGATCTCGGTTAAAGCAAATTCATGGAATTCGTTGACACTTCTACTGAATTTTCTTTATGATTTCACGATGCTTAAAATTGAAAGTTTCAGAAAATTCACCCAATAATTTCATCTCTGAAACATACTTTTGCAGTGGGAAAACTGAAACACCGCAACCAAAAAATACCCTCTCTGCTCCCAAAAACTCAACAAAAAATTCCACAAAATTTTGACCGGCAAGTTGTTATTTTGTGAAAACCCAGCGCATCACAGGAAATTGCGGAGGCCTAGAACATAATAATTTGCAGCCCTGATTGTTCATTTTGATTTTCTCGAGATACGAAGCAGTTGCAGCCAACAGTAGTTTCCTCTCTAAGTTAAAAATTAAGGTGATTCGATGGACGCCATATTTTGAGTCAGAACGGCATGCGATATATCGCATCCATTGGTTCCATTTTCTCAGCTACTCTTCATTTTTCTCCAATTATGAGATCGCAATTCTGTTGTCAGGAGACTAAAGCACTCACTTACCAATTCTAACAAAGAAATTCAACGTAATAAAGGCGTGGTTTTTTCAGAGAGAAAACATCGCATTCGAGTGCAGTTTCGATATCAGTATCGAATGCGATGTTTTCTCTGAAAAAAACCACGTCTTTATTACGTTGAATTTCTTTGTTAAAATTGGTAAGTGAGCGCTTCAGTCTCCTGACAACAGAATTGCGATCTCAAAATTGGAGAAAAATAACGAGTAGTTGAATAAATGGAACCAATTTATGCGATATATCGCATGCCGTTCTGACATAAAATATGGCGTTTATCCAGGCCCGCCACAAGGGGGGGGGGATACTGGGTCCTTGGTACCGGGGCCCGGGCCCTGGAGGGGCCCGTGACGCAGGTGACAAACCACTACGAATTCATGTGTAACCCTTGTCTCGTAGGGAAAAGTGAAAAAATAACCCTAAAAATTCCGCAAAAGGTGAATAAAGTTTCAAAAACACGCTAGGGCACTGTAAAATTGTTCTTACTTTTTTAGAGATTTTCAAGATTTTGAGTATATGTAGAATGATATTTTTAGTAACTGTGTTTCATTTTTTTCCGATGTTGGATGCTAAGAGGCTCCTTTCTGGGCATCCTCGACTTCAATGGCTTAACTCCCTTGCCATAGACGTACGAAAGGGGAGTCCAGGGGGGCCCGGCTCCCCATAGAATTGTAAATTATCATCTGCCCCCTCAAAAAAAAAAATGTATAGATGTTTTGAATGCAACAATTCGAAAGTTTTTGGTGCTGAGAGTAAACAAAAAGGCGTAATTATTCTGCAGAAATTGTTGGAAAATCTCCAGAGCTTCATAATGCGTCCAAATAGATTTAAAATTTCAAAAATTTCCCGGGGGAGGCCCCCCGGACACCCCCCCCCCCCNCCCCCCCCCCCCCCCTGTGCTAGGGGCCCGGGCCAGAAAATTGGTACCAGGGCCCGAGGTGGGATGTGGCGGGCCTGCGTTTATCGAATCACCTGAACAGTGGAGATTCTGAAACACCGCAACCGAGAAATACTCCTTCTGCACCCAACGCCTCAATTGCATCTTTGTTTCGTCCTCTTGCTTTACTTTGTCCTTTGTAGCAATGGAGCTAGAGATTCGTGTTTTGGGCAGGTGTGTCTATCCGTCCCGCCCTTCCTTGCCTAGGTTTTCCCCCTGATATTGTGTCATCGCACCACTTCGACAATACCCAGGCTCTATCCCTTTTATACTCATACTGCCGATTTCCTTTTTCATCCGAGTCTCGATACGAGCGAATTTTCTCTGATACCGCCGGCCGGGCGCGCTGTGCCTGTCGCCAAACGACGCGACGACCAGACAGAGATTCAGAGCGGATGTTCGGCTTATCTGACCACCCATAGCCCCACCTCCCTACCCCCTTACCTGAGACTGATTGGAGACTCTACGTGCAACGTCTTGCTGCAGTCTAGTGTCTAGTGTGTGAAGTCGTAGGTGACGGTTCAGTCCGTTTCAGTGGCTCGTGATTTTAAGGAGCTGATTTTTCAGTCAAGTTTGGTGATTCCTCGCCCCGCTATTAATTATTTTGAAACACAGCTTATTCTGTCCTGTTCGATTTTTTGCTGAGTCGCTTTGAAGTCGAAAGAAGAAACTCGTATCCGTTGTCATTGTGCGAGTTTCGAAAGCCGTTTTCCCGTGATATTTCCATGATATTTGGTTTGAAGACATCATTTTGGAAGTCAGTTTGTTCATAAATCATTTGGTGTTAATTCGGTAAGTCACTTGCTCATATCGTCGAAAATTGAAGTGTTGGGTGCAGAAAGGGCATTTTTTGGTTGAAGAATCTTCAATGTCGATTTATATTATAGAGAGGGAAGTGCTGGGAGAATTTTCTAATTTTTTTAATTTTCAGCATTGTAATGTGTTAGAGGACTCAGTTAAATTTTAGGGAATTTAACTAATTTGCTTTAATTTTAAGGGATGAAACATTCAAGTGATTCAATGGACGCCATATTTTGTGTCAGAAAGGCATGCGATATATCGCATCCATTGGTTCCATTTTTTCAGCTACTCGTCATTTTTCTCCAATTTTGAGATCGCAATTCTGTTGTCAGGAGACTAAAGCACTCCCCAATTTTGACAAAGAAATTCAACGTAAAAAAGGCGTGATTTTTTCAGAGAGAAAACATCGCATTCGATACTGATATCGAAACTGCACTCGAATGCGATATTTGCTCTCTAAAAAAACCACGCCTTTAGTACGTTGAATTTCTTTGTTAAAATTGGGGAGTGCTTTAGTCTCCTGACAACAGAATTGCGATCTCAAAATTGGAGAAAAATGACGAGTAGCTGAAAAAATGGAACCAATTGATGCGATATATCGCATGCCGTTCTGACACAAGATATGGCGTCCATCGAATCACCTTAACGGAGATCCTGAGACACCGCAAGTAAGAAATGCCCATTTTGCACTCGGAGCTTCAATTTTCCTTTTTAAACGAAATGTTGTTACCTACTGAATCTGACTTGAGAGTTCCTACGGGGCGATTTTCTCTTTAGATTTCCTCGGGATTTTTTAATTCTGGGAGTTTCCCAATCAATGGAGTTACTATTTTGTCATCCGGGTCGGTTGTCATTGTATGCGTTATCGGTAGCCTTTTTTTCATGATATTTGGTTTAAGGTTATAGTTTTGGAAGTCATTTTTATTTTTGTTCTAACGTTTACTCCCTCAATATTGATTTGTTAAGTCACTTGCCTGGATCGAAAAATCTTTCAACTATTCGAAGGATATGTGGCCAAATACACTCGTACATCCTCTGACTGATGAGTCCTAAATGGTGGAGGGGGGGGGCGATTGTTTCTTTTGATTTTTCCTTTTGGAATCCTATGGGATAGATGTAATTATGCGATGATACAGGATTTTGTTGAATTTTTTTGCAGCAAATTGATTTTCTCTTTGAAAAGCTTGTCTTGAGTAAAATATTAATTTCTCGGAAGTCGATGGGTATTGAGAAAGACTGACGTCAGTTTCGGACTCAGCGCTGAAGTTCACTTGAGATCCAACCATCATATTCCCAACAATCTTTTTTGCAGACCTGCGTAATTTTTGAACCAAAATAAGGTGCAAAAAATATTTTTCACTTAGGAAAAAATTTCAATGCAACCAATGACCGATTTTCATTTTACCTGATATGTTCTTCTAAAATATTCCATGATATTTTCCCGCTTTAAGATTTAGGGGTTGCGAGTTTTTGTAGACTTCGTCAAAGCCACCCGTGCTGTAAGCGGGGTTGTTTCTAGGTGCCTTTCAGCCTCCCCCCCCCCACCCATGTTGCAACGCTGCGCTGGCCAGTCGGAAAAATCAGGTCCTTACATCCGTCCGTCTCGTTGTGTTGGCGTCGTCAAAAAAAAAACCAAACTGCTCGTTTTCATTAACAGGAAATCTGAGACAGATGGCAGAGTCTAGACAGGTAACAATGAAACCGGTCTGAAAAGGCAGGCGGAACTGCCAAATTGGTTCCTCTGAACTTCGAAGCGATTACATAATAGGGAGCGACAATTAGACTGAAACTCTGAAACGTCAAGGGTGGGAGGAGGGCTGGGCCCACACACGCACCCGTCTTTCGCCAGACCTGCAGGTTGATTGTTGAAACTGATAGACAAAGCTATAGACAAAGACGACAAAAGGGATTTGGAGGGATCCTATTGGTGGAAGCGAGTGGTGGCAATGGACATAGGAGGTAGGTAATAGACTAACTAACGGCAACCCACGAGAGACCCGACAGTTAGTCTATCATTTTCTCCCTTTGTCTATAGGAACCACCCATTTCAACCAATAGGATCGCTCCATACTCCCTATGTCTCCTTTGTCTATAGCTTTGTCTATCAATTTCAACAATCGGCCCGCAGAATTGCCGTGCTGAGGAAGAACGTCGTATGAACCTTCGAGAGTTGCCACATTTCCTCCAGTAAAATGCTCATTTTTTTTAGAAAAGTTATGAATATTTTTCCTTGAAATTTTCAGGAACGTTTGGTTATCTTGCGAGCAAAATGATCTGAAAAATCGGAAGGAAAATATTCATAAGTTTACCGGGAAATTCGTGTTTTATCAAGGGAATTTGGCAACGCCTGGAGGTTCCTACGGCGTTTTTCCTTGGCACGGCAGAAAAGTCCCGGTGGTTTCAGATCGTCCGAGCACACGTGCGGAAACCCCCCCCCCCCCCCCCCTTCAAACGATGCCCGGCCTATGGCATTTTCCTTTGCCTGTTTAGTCTGGTTCAGAGATTGCCTCCCACTTGCGCGCAGTATCTGACCGGTGACAGTTAGCCTCGCTTAAATTTTAAAATGTGGTCGCTGATCGTCAAAAAGTTTCTTTTACGGTTGTGCTGCTCCTCTTGAAGTGCTTGTCAACTGTTTTTTGAGGAATCAAAGTGTCGTGAGCAAATCCTCGCTAAAAGTAATCAAGGTGAGAAAGGCATTTTGTTTGTAACGAATTCTCGACCTGATCAGTTCACCCGTGTGTCGAAATCCAGTTTGTACCGCACCATCAGTGGTTTTTATGGACTTTCAGGAGCTTTCCCGAAGGCTTCGTTTGCGTTCGCGAAATTCATAAGTGACTAAACATGTGCTAAGTCTCTCTTAATCGTGAAAAATTAGCAGCTTCAGCTTCACCTAGTTCAAAGTGAGTGTCTAAATTCATGTTTCTATGATCAGTCAGAGTGTCGGGACAGTTGGATTGTATTTTTTTATTTTGTCCGCTGAAAATGGGTCTTTAATATTCTACTTACTTACTATTTTATTGTTTCTCCAAGTTTTCAATCGATGCAAAATTTTGCAGTGATTAAAACATTCACAGGGTATGATCATTTAAATGCCTAAATCACTTAAAATGTTCCGAATCCCATATCTAACTCACAGACTTATTCTCTCCCATCCCGAAAATGTGACTCCTAGTTATTTCATTGTTATTCACATCTCTCATCCTTTTGATAAATTTCAATTATTATTTTCTTTTTGTTTCATTTTTCAGGTCTCCAGTTTCACAACGTGTCTGTTATAAATTTACGAGTCGCTGAAGGTATGTAGTCTTATTTTACACTACCATATGTTTCGATATTTCCGCTTTTTCCCATTATGTTAACATTCTAATGATGCGTAGACTCAACTTTTTTCTTCCACAACACTCAGTCGGCGTTAGGAATATTATATTAACCTAATTCAAGTTCATTTCTTTAATTTCCCATTGTACTCACCCATTTTCCTTCAGTTCACAGTTTTTCTTAACATTTTTTCATTTGTCTTAATTTTTTTTCAATTTTCCCTGACAAATTATTTTTTCCTCCTGCATCGTTTTTTATACGTGGCATTTGGAAAGAATCTAAACCCTTGTATTTACTGTCCGTTGACTTTCCTCCTCTCCGTCAATTCGTCGTCGTTGCCCCCCCCCCCCCCTCACGAAAAAACGTAACTCCAATTCAACGTTGCCAAGTGTCTCCTCTCAAATTGTGTATCAACAAGGAACACATTGTGAATTAACTCGCAGGGTATTTCTAACTGAAAATTTCACTGATTATTCCTCAGATTTGATGGAAAAAAAACAAATTACTAAAAATTACACAGGTATATTTGAGTAAATTTGATGAATATTTTGAGTCAATTTGGCTACCTTGGAATATAGTCACGTTCCCTCGTCCGGAGACTACGCATTGGATCTGTTTCTCAAGAAGGAGAAAAATTACGGGATTTTTAGAAATGTATTTTAGGTAGAATTTTACCTAAAAAATTAAAAATGACAGAAAATCTGCAACATCGCAAACCGAGTTACGAGATTTGGGGGTTGCACCGACGATATGGGGTTCATCGATTGTTAAAATGTTTGTCCGTTGCCCCTTTATTGGCCTCATTAAAACCGGTGCGGAATGAAGCATCTTATCGAGCTACTGCGTGTGCTGTGGTATCACTCGATATTGAAGGCACTCTTCTATTCGTGCGAGCTTATCGTCGTTGCGTCCTGCCGCGCCGCCCTGAATATCCCTGTCAGTAGTCATACCGAATTTAAACTTTTCATTGGACTTTCTTTCGCTGGTTAGTGGTGTAAAAACTGGTTAAGTGGATTTTAACTGATTATTATATAGTGGAAAGGTTCAGCTTGAAGCACTTTTGCACCTGTTTTCTACAAGGGGGAGAGGGGTTAATAAGTCTGCCAATTTACCGATTTCTTCAGCTTTCTTTTATGGTCAATGCTACTAAGACTCGGCAACTGTCTCTATCATGTAGCGAAAATCTGATCGCCTTTGGAATTCAATAGACTGATTTAGTATCTATATCTACGTCATAGTTCAATTGTAAACAAACACATGGCCTTATCCATGATTCGAGTCCTTCGCGTCATTGTGGTCCAATTCGTCCAAGAGTTTCTCGCAATCGAATTTCGTGTTTCATGAGTCCTTAAATGATAAATGACCTGTCAATGCCTGAACTGTAGTGAATTAACTCTCGAAGAAGTTGTGCGGGAGATTACATTAGGTCAATATATTTGTTTTGGTTTGAACCAAGAGTTCGATATTGTACCAAAAGACGCAGGCACCAAATCAGTCTATTCGGATCATTCAAAGAAGACTACATTTCAAGAAAATTTTCCATACGAGCTTGCGGCGGAACCCGATATCTAGTCTCGGTCTCTGCTCTTGACCCATCCAACTTTTCTACTCCTGCGTTAAAGTCTTTGGGTCAGCCGAGGAGAGATTCTCCTTCATTTCGTCGATATGCAATTTCATCACCTTGGAAGTCGAAATAGTTAGTATCACGCGTCCAACTTTTTTACTCCTGCGTTAAAGTCTTTGAAGTCAGCCGAGAGGAGATCAGCCAGTAGTGTCACATTATCAAAGCTAGCCATTAAAATATCAAGGTCAGGTGTTGTGATTGGCTTATTCGATTACGTGGACCAATCACAGCACTTGACCTTGACATTTTGGAGGAGTATTTTGATAGTCTGACACCGGCTATTTTCCTTCATTTTGTCGATATGCAATTTCATCACCTTGGAAGTCGAAATAGTTGTATCACGCGTCCAACTTTTGTACTCCTGCGTTGAAGTCTCTTGAGTCAGCGGAGGGGAGGGGGTCATCTTCATTGCGTGAGTAAGCAAGTGAATCAGTCAGTTACAAAAGAGCTCAAGCGCCTATAA